CCTACAACATCTACAGGCCTTCCAACCACGCGGAGTGGGCGTACTGTGAAACCTGTCGACCGGCTAGGTTCCTAGATATTAAAAGGGGAAGATGTTCTAGTAGCTCTTAGAGAGATGCGCGGGCTGCAGCTATAGAAGTAGAAGACGAGGAATAAAAGAGGAGACTGGCTCGTGTCCTCAACCTGGCTGGTCCTGTTTCCTCGTCGCTCGCCGTACCCCTAAACACCCAACGCAACACCTTTTAGTTCTCTTTTATTTCAATAAAGGTCCCGAACAATAATATGTTCTTTTTAAATTAAAATGTCGACCCGAAAACTGTTCTTGATTTTAAAATGAAAACGTGCATATACATTTTACACTCGGATATCAATAATTATGCATGCGCAATGGCGATGCGCAGTATAAAGCTACCGGAGGTATTGAAATAATATACTCAAACTACGCAACTTAGTCGGCACCTCAAGGAGTAGATTTATCTCTAGGCAGTGCTTCTATATAGGCACTTTAATTTTACTAATATGATGCGACTTCCTGTGAAACAGTATTTTTAAGAACAAAACCGGAAAACTGGGAAAATAACAAAAGACGCCGCAACAGAGAAAGTCGTTCGTTTTTTTTTTTCTTTCTCCGATCTCGGGGCTTTGTCATAAAATATGTTCAACCATCCCTAGCTAGTCGGAGCCCTATCTTTTTGTTCCTTGAAACAGTATGATGTAACGTCCAGTCGCTTTTCATTTGTTATCGTACTGATAAGTCAATCACCAAACGTCGCTACGTTTCTAGCAGACGTCCTTGTCAACCAGTGTACTGATGGAGAAAACCTGCTAAACGTTTATGCTGAGCAATCTTTTTTTTTTGAATTCACAAAAAATTTACAAGTGAAGCCACGAGATCTTTCTCTCACTTCGTGAAATCCTGCACACAATCTTTTAGAAATTACTACACCACGGATCAGAGACCTATATCAGAGAATAAAGCCGCCCAGGTTAGCATCCTCGAGTAGATGCGCTGTCTGAGCTGGCTCATCTATTGGAGGAGCCGAGGACACTGGGCGCCTCGCTGGCATGCTGGCAAGAGCACGCGGTGGAGGTGCAACGTGCACAGAGGACTGGCTGTATCATCGGTGCCACGAGCCTTACCAGTTTCTCAGCCACACGGATCGGTGTCGCAATCTAGACGGATCAGCGCACTTGTTCTTATTTCTTAAATCTGAAAATGTTGTATTTATCCTGCCCAAGGATTTGGTTTCTCTTTGTATTTTATTTATTTATTTATTTACATAGAACTGCGTCGCCTTTCGACATAATAGCAGGAGTTAGCAGATGAAATACATTAAATTCCAACAAAAACATCGTAACACAAACAAATTTGTATATACATTAAACATATCCTTCAATACGCTTTGATATGCAGTTGTTGCTTTTATTTGCTTAATTCTTTAAGATGTTGTACTTCTCCTTAATATGCATTCGGAGTTTTTTTTTGTTATAGATTATATGTAGTGGTTCTTATTTGTAACATCTCAAAATGTAGAATCCCCAACCCCCTTGCGCAACTTCCTTCACAAGGTGACCTGAAAGGTACTAAAAATAGTACATTATATTTATTTCTGTATTTTGTATCTAATGGCTTCAAGGGTGTTTATATTTTGCTAAATATTTAATCGCAAGAGTTATAGTAATGTAAGCAGCATCGGACGAACTTCGTCTGGGGGATATCTTATCTTGCTTATTTTGACACTGAACGAGAAACAATCTGCATTAAACGCAAGACAACTGCCTTTGATTCACGCATTAAAATCTTCAAATGTTGAGATTAGATTAAAATTACCAGTCATTAAATATAATTGCGATGACTATTCACTAATATTAAAAATGGAAAAAATCTATATTGTCGGCATTTTAAACAGCTGACAAGGACAGCGACCTTTTTATGCACCCCGCAGTAGTGCTATATTTTGAGCACGGGAGAAGAAATCTTTAAAGCAGCTATCTTCTATGCAAGGCCAAAATTTCTATAGGAAGTAAATTCTGACAATGATGGATGCCATACTAGTTTTCACGAAAAAATGACAGCGTTTGGAATATATATATATATATATATATATATCAGGGGCAATCAAACAACCATTAATCATCGCACGTGTCAAGCGCAGCGATCGAGAATCACGGCCTAGAATCCCGAGATCTCGCGATATAAACGGTACGGTTCGCAGAGACCTGGGAATTTGACGATTTTCGGATTGATCGTCTTTAAGCTGTCAAGCACTTTGAGGTAAACTGCATGCAGCAGGAAAAGAATTACGTCAACATACGCGAAGATATGTAAAATAATAAAATATGTAAATGGAAGAAACATTAGAAATATGTCCACGCAAACTTACACAAAAGTAATTTCAATTGTCAATTGTTATTCTGCTTACCAAAACATGCCGAGTAACACATTTAGATTTAAGATGCAAATGGCAACTATGTAGCTTGGAATTTATTTATAAATAAAGTTCAGCATTTTTTGGTTCAGTAACCTAAACATGGTACAACCAGAAACGACTTTGTCAAACAGCGACTCTCCGACTATCGCGTAACTTATGTTATATGCTTTCAAAAACTATATGTTACGTTACATTTCATGAAAAAAAATGTAACTATGATACTTGAATTTTCATTTTACAGAAATAAAGGTCAGCTTGTAAAAGTAACAGATGGTAGCTTCCCCCACTTGTTCTTCTCTAAAGTTTATTGTGTCGTACTATAGGCCGGAGTGTGGTAGCTTTTTAAATGTATACCGCTTGATGAAAATATATTTAAAAGCAATTGGGTACAAAAACAATTAGTCATTTATTATGGTCTTTGCTTGAACTAGCCACTGCTAGTAAGCGTCGTTCGTGAGTTAAATTGGCAGTGGATATACGTATAGTGCTCTATTTATAGTGTTTCCAAATAAAAATGAGAGCACCATATAAGGTTTGCCAAAGAATTTATCATATTTACCGAATATTACGCGTGTGTCCTCTCATTCAGCTCAACTGGTATTCACAAGCAAGCGGTGAGAATAATGGCCACTGCCTAAGGCAAGAAACATTATGGTTACCATTTCGAAAAATTCTGTTAATTTCACACAGGACCCAATTTGTTTCAGCATTAATTACAGAAAATAAACTTATTAATTGCGTAGAATGTATGGCGTAGATTGTATTTTATAGTTTTTTACACTTCTTCTACTCTTATGCATAACACAAACTGGCCGTCGTTGGTCATTCGGGCCAACTTTCCGTCAGCGGCGTATGTCGGCTTCTCTTTGGTTTATCATTGCAACCCTCATGCAAGTACGCCGTATGATAACCAGGCACCACACAGTATTGCGTTTATATTAACGTCCAATCAGAAAGAATTTGTCGATACCATTTTTATCCAGTCAATATCTGTGAAGTATTGGCTAGGTCGCGTCGACGCCATCCTGACATACCCTACCCCCTGCCGGTTTTTGTTGAGTGTCGATAGTGTCTTTTGTAAATCGGCGAAGCTGACGAGGCATTCGGATTTTTAACCTACTAAAAACCTAATTTGATAAACGAAAAAAGAAAATATAAAACAAAGCGGATTGCGCTTCTTTTTAGCTGGAGAAATACAGCAAAACGCAGCACTGGAGATTAGCTGCATTGCCCATCTCCCGTCGACATCACCTTTCGCTAAGCCCTCCCCCCCCCCCCCCCCCCCCCCCAACAGCCTCCCCCTTTATTATGCGTCTTCGTGTTGCTATGAGCGAGTTCGACGACCGCTTCAAGCAAATCAGACTGATAGACCGAAGCACGTGACCGCTCTTCGCAGGCTATAAAAGCTTGTACAAAAGTTGGTCACGCGACTCGCTCTCACCCGCTGATAGGCTCACTGGGGCCGTAATCTTCGCCATTTGCCTACTTGTAGTTCGGTTTCCGAAATGCGCTCTTTGGTCTTCTACTTCCGTCCATTCCAGTCGCGGCAGTGAATTTTTGTCATCAACGGTCGAAATACGCCATGCCAACTTTTCAGTAATGACTGTTCTTCTTTTCGGAGTCCATGGAATCTTTGTTCGGTGGTAGTGGCACGCGCTTCGACAAAGAAGTGCTCATCGGCGACACTGAGACATTCGTTGAATCTGGGCGATATTCTTCCTTCTTCACTTTGTGTGTGCGTGGCTCTGTGCTATCCGATCGGGATAATGCACATATCAATGGATTACATGACGCCGCTGTTTTATTTGTAAGTGCACTAAAAACATGCTTCTGATAGTGGTCCTGCTTCCATCACAATAGGGAATTTTGGAAGATTCTCCGATACCTCCGATACTTCCGATAACGATGCGATGAACAAATGCAGCGACAGAATAAGGGGTATTGTTATCAGTCATCGGAAAGATATACTTACACTCTCTAATTTCAACGGTCCTTTCTGTTATATTCGTGAGCTTTGCTTGGCATGAAAACACATGGTTGAAAAAACCTCGAGACTGCGGGTAAACGACACAACACTAAAAAGTCTTTAGAGACTTTTTAGTGTTGTGTCGTTTACCCGCACTCTCGAGGTTTTTTCAACCATGTGCAATATATACCAGCTTGTTTGCGCCCTTACTTTTCGCTCATGAAAACAAAGTAATTTTATTTCATAATTTGCTTTCCGTTCCAAAGAAGTATCCTTTTTTTTAAACATTTGCCAAGAACATGAAGTCTATAATGACATTGGTTTAATAAAAGTATGGTTGCGATCGAAACAATTCCATTTGTCTTTTTTTTTTTTTTTGGAGCAAGGCGAGCCATATACCGACAATTAACGTGCCAGTAAATACTGCCGATAATGCCGGTAGAAAGCAGGGGCATAAGCGACGTCCGGCCGGTACAAACGAGATGCATATGCGACATGTGGCCGATACGTGGCCGACAGTCTTATCTCGGAAGTACTCGCGGGATATCACTGCTGATATTAAGCCGGTGGCGAAACGGTGGTGCACCAATACCTGCGCAGCTCCCTCCCGCTGGCAGGTCAAGCTAGGCGGCTCGGCAGGAAGGGCTTGTCGTCATTTTATTTGTTTAGCTTGTGGATCGACGCCAGGGGTTTGGGTGAGTCCATGTTCGAATTTATGTGTTTTTGATTATGATTAAATGCTTATGAACGTGTGTTCAAAGGATTCAGCGGGTGTGCTTTCGGTGAGAATAGGAGGCCTCACCTGGCGAGCCGCCGGCCAGGTAAGCCTACTTATGCCCAGCTGCGAAGAGCTTGCTCGAGCAGTGCTAGTGGCGCGAGCTTGTCAAAGTCGTGGTTGAGGAGTGAACCATCCTTGCTGTCGCCGTTTTAGGGGCGGTAAGAGGCGATGTCCGCACGTATACCAGATTGGCCAATCGATCTGCGTCCTCTTTTACTGTGATCCTGCAGTGTACGGGGACCTTATAGAAATTAACGGTCGACTACGAGGGACTCCACTGTTCGGCCGAGTGGTGGCGTGTCGTCGACCTTTGAAGGCGGTGAAAGACCGTTCGGGAGTCTGAGACTCAAAAATATGGGAAGCCAGCGGAGTCCCTATAAGCTCCCGGAGCACAATATGGCCAGCCGCCAGCTTTATTCCGAGCAGACTCGTTGGAGATTTTCACGGTCGGCTCTCTTGATCTCGGTCACCCGCTCTGTTCCATAATACACAGTCGGTGAACTACCCCAAGTGTCTCAACTTCCAGGCGTCCTCCCCTTCGCGTGCGGTAGATTCAGGCTGACGTTTAGTTCGTGGTTTGGGATCATCAAGAGTGCACTTTTAATTAACTACAGCTATTTGTTTCAAGCGCTGTCGAATCCGGTTGAGAAAATCCAAAGTTAAATTTGTGATTGTGGTGCGCGATATTTAGATTTAGAGTTTGCTGGCACTTCATTGTAAGTACGCCACCAAGTTTCAATGGCTTCTCCCGATCATTCGCGCGAAGCGTGATCTTGAGTAATAACTTATAAGGTATGTTGTTGTTGCTGTTTTGTAACCTTGTTGTAACTCCTGTTACAAATAGCGGTTATTCTTTTAATATTTCGTCATGCTTTCCTCCACCGTGGCATCATGCGCGCAAATTTGTGTCCATTTTTTTGTGTATAAACGTATTTGTCAGAATTTGCGAGGGTCTTGGATCTACTGAATCCCAAACTTCGGAAAATAATGGTATTAAGTGAAACATTTAATTAAGAATCTTCTGTAAAACAAATTGCGAGCAGAACCCAAGCGTCTCTAATCGCTATGAGTTTGTTATACAGACGTTTTGGGTTTTATTGTTTCGCGTACTATGGTTTCTTCACCTGCTCATCAACATTTTTGTATAGTACACATTTATGCACGCCAAGCATGTGTAGTTTGTTCGAAGCACAATTTTCTCGACCACTAGTATTTATTGGGAGCAGAACCAAATGGTGACTTAAAAGTACCATTATAGCTCACCACAAGTACACAGAGCTTTACTCCATATCGACCAATTTATCAAAGACTTATTACAAAGAATGTCTGCGTACCTCAGTTCGCTAGAAGTGCACTAAAAATATGGCTGTTTTTCGCCATTTGACGGCCCACCTCCCGATGTTCAACGCGCAGGACGGCTACTATGGTGTACCTGCACTGTGTTGTATTGAGTACGCATGTTTAGGTGCATATCGTTTAGGTGGCGTTCCACCATAATCTGTGAAGCACACAGTATTTAAACGAAAATCGGGATCGCACTCCAAGTACGGGAGGCGCAGTAAAGTGAATGAGGGACTGTCTTCCTCCGCAGAAGTTCCACAACTGAGGTAATCTACTAAAATTGGCCGTAGCTGGGCGTTGTTGTCTAGTCCGAGGTGCCCGGATGTGCAGGTCGCGTGTCACTCAGCGACTTCCGCATACGCGAGCAACACGGTCGTCCTCCTTGTCGTCTGCTTCCCAGACTAAAAACCATTTTTTAAACAACGCTCGCGTTATAAAACAACGCGATTATGCTGCACTCAGTGGCTACATATATTGTTAAATGGTCAAGGAACCTTCTACTTTGTTTCATTATAGTGTAGGATGCATTTTGGCAAACAACACACTGCGCACGAAACGTGGCTCCTGCAAGGTCACTTCCCCGCAGAAAGTCTTGAACCAGCGCGGTGCACATGACTGCTTCTCTGCCAATGCGGACTTATCAGCCAAATAAAAAAAAAAAAAAACAATGTGAAACTCTTGCTTTGCAGTCAGATCTCATACCGCTATTTTAATCCTTGTGACGTTTCAGCGCCATCGATGGGGAGATGAGAACATCAAACCGGTTCCAATTCCCACTTAAACAGCAGTGCGTAAGGAAGAGTTTAAATGAATCTCAAGAAAACTTCGGTCATGTCAATCAGCAGAAATCGCGAGGTATAATGTTTTACTTTAACCCGGCTGTCGGGCAGATTCAGAGAGCATCTCTTGCAAAGACGATTGGTGTTTAACTTCACGGCAAGCTGTGTTTTCTCCAAACATGTTCTGAAATAATCTTCATTTCGGCACACGTTTTCAAGACCGCGTAGCGCGCAACCCCCGCCGCGTGAAGGCTGCGCGGCGCGCTGCCGCGCCCGCGTGCGAAGTTCCAGATCGACTGAGTATCATCGTGAGATGTGCGAAACATTAGGTGTATTTCGATCCCCCTATGTCAATGTTCTGACACCTCTCGCTTCTTCTGCCGTTGTAGCGCCTGTTGCAGAAAAAAATGGAAGATCGTTTCGTTTACGCCCTTTTGCACGCCACGCGGTGGTGATGCCGACAATGCTGAGTTTCAGTTCTAGAGCTTACGATGGCTTGACGCCAGCGGGAGGCTCTGGAATAAAAGGGCTATACTTCGTTTCAGCTTCCGTCCGAGCGCAGCCAAAGGCTGAGGAATGGTTTGCAACTTCGAGAAGAGCATTCCTACGCACCACAAAGTAGTCCGTAGAAGTATTTTTTAAACAACTGTTTTGTGCTTAAGCATTCCACAATATTCCAGATGTATACTGGTGAGCATGGTTTGAAACTAAAGCAAATAAGCATCTGAAGTTCATTTTTTTATTAATCGATGTAAATGCATGTAGTTTGGTGAAAACACGTACATTTGCTGACAACACGCTGCAGCGCTTGGTTTTTCTGTGGTCGCTTCAAAACGTCCTTTCGAAAAGGCACGTTTTGGCGTCAGGGGCGATAGGTCGTGTTGAATGTCTGCTTTCGAATTCGGCAGTAGACTCCGGCCGCGTCGTACAGCGAATGCGTTGTAAACAAGAAAACATCCGGGCCACTACAATTCACTGATACGCGGCGAAGTCAGGGTACCCCTTTACCTGCCGATCACATTGAACGCCGAGAAGCTGGTGGGAAGGACGGCGCCTCGAGCACTGGTATGTGCAGACAATACAAGAAAACATCAACGGCCGATTTATTGGTCATCTTTCAATGTGTTCAATCAAATCAATTGATTTGATTTGATACTTACATCTCGAAACTATGCCGAAAGGCCGAACAGATTGAAAGCTCGGACATGGACGCCAGCGGCCAGCTTACGTACTGACATCCCCTTTAACTAAGTTTCGGAACGTGAAAGAGCACTTTTTAGACCTGTATCAGGCGATGCCCTTGATACACCCGTAGCAGACGGAATACTCGGACAGCGCGGGCGGCGCAGACCACCCGCGGCGCAGCGGAGGGATACAAAAGTGCAGGTGAGACCGCGTGACCTATTGCCGGCTTGTGATTGGCTCCGGCCACACGTAGCTTTGGCTGCGCTCGGACGGAAGTTGAAACGAAGTATACCTCGACAGCTTTCAAAAGTAATAAAAACAATTAATGCGGATTTTAGGTTGAGTCATAGCACGAACAAACATTAGCTCTATAACCCACTCTCTGGCACGAGTGTTTTCTGCTTACTGTCATCGTCCATAACATGTTTGTCCCCATTTGTATAACAGCACTACCTGCGCCTTACGAAAGCCTCCTAGAACCCGTACTTAATTTTCAACCTAGATTGAAACTCAACATCTTCTTTCGAATGTAACACACATCCAAACAGTAAACCGTGTATGTTGTTTTGTTATCTACCTTCGAACTCGCACCGGTGATTACGGGTATGAGTTCAAGCTCCCGCGTTCCTAAATGAATACTCCAATATACGATTAAACTGACGATGACGACCGCACATTAGCGTATTCAGCGTCCCCTATATTTGACTTTTCCGTATGACTTTGAGAACTTGGTTTCCCCTTCTTTCGCTGTTGCCAACAATGAAACAGCGTCGTACGCTTCTTTCTCGAGAACAGCTTAAAGCGACGCCGACAAAAATCGGTCGACACACAAATTCAGGTGTGCAGATCCATCAAGAGGGGGCGGGGATTTTCAAAAAATGACCTTGCAAGGTATTTTTTTTTATTTCGGTTTTGTTTTTATGATTTGAATTAATACAATGAAGTGATGCGATTTGTCTTTCTCGTTTTGAACACTTCCCTATTGGAAAATCTCGATGATGGAAAGATGACGGAAAAGGCTCATACAAGCGTAACCGTAATATGGGACATCCTATACAAGCGAAAAAGGCGGCTCCAGTATAGTGGAATAAGGCGGAACGATACAGGTGGGCGGAACCATACAAGCGTGTCGTATTATGGGACATCCTATACCAGCATAGTGGATATAGGCGGAACCATGTAGGCGGACGGAACCATACATGCATAACGTAATATGGGACATCCTATACCAGCAAAAAGGCGATACCAGCATGGTGGAGCCATATGGCTCCAGCGTGTTGGTTTCGCCTTTTCACTGTTGTACAGGGCGATTTAGTTTTAAGCTTTACATATATGTTTAGAAAGGTCGTGAAAGCTATATTAATGCGGTTTGTGCAGGCGAGTTATACGGCCAGGCGTACGTAGTATAGGGACCTAGTCGTAACGATCAGTCAGATAATTAAATACAATTTGTTAATCAACTTTTTAATTAGTGAAAATGAAAATATGGTTTCAATTATAAACTTGCTGAGTCATTGAAAACCACAAAATCAAGTTTTTTTAGAAGGATATAATTCAGGGGTAGCGTTTTATGCATTCTGTAAAAAGCTTTATTTGGACGAGTTTCTAGGTTTCAGTTTCTTATCAGAGCTCATCTCTGCGCCCACGGTCCTGTTCCCCAGGGGCATAGACACGCAACACACATGCGCCTTGCTTCCCTTCATCCTACGAGGGAGGCGAGGGGGCGGCTTCGCACTGC